CCAAGGCTAGGCCTATAACATCCTAGCTAGTCTAGGCCTGGCTAGCGCGACATGCGGACGTTGGTACGAGTAGGTTAGTCTACAAACGTCGCCTAAAGTAATTGATTTTACCCGGCAGAGCGAAAGAAGGAAACTCCGCTTTTCAGTAGTCTTCGGCGCCTGTTTTTTGACAAACAATGACCTTTCAGAGGTCAAATTGCTGTCAAGAATATGAATTGGCTGCTTCGCAGCAATAAGCACTTAAATACTACTTACCTTCAACCTGTAATGGAATTTGAGGACTTAGGTACTTGCTAGCAGCTCCGCTCGGATTCATGTAGGAATTACGAATCTCGCAGTAATAATTCCCCGCATCTGTGTAAGCTCCTGCAATTGCGTATGCGAAGTAGAGAAATCCATCTTTACCAACACGTACACGGCCGTCTCCTTCTATATACTCAAGGTCATTATTGCCTCTATCCTTCTTCCAACTGTATTCCAGACCTAATGTAAAGATGAAATGGTCAGCCACTATCTCCATGAAAAAAACTATGCTAAATTTTTGTATCTACAAACTACAGTCATTAACCACCTGGTGAAAGAGTACTTCTACCTACACGCCCTTACATAGGATTTTTGATGGCAGGCCCCGCATTTTGCACTTGGCTGGGTTGGGGTTTGAAGGCAAAGCCCCTGGAAGCTCCTTTTCTATTATTTTCACTTTACTTATTCTATCCATTTTCCTTCTTTACCTTTTCCTTTTCTTTTCCTTCTTTATCTTTCAATTGCTTTCTTATAGCTTTCCTGTATTTTCCCTTTTTTATTTTCCTTACCTTTTCCTTTATCAACTTTTCCTTTCATTACTTTCCTTTTTCCATCCCTTTTCTCTCTCTCCATTTTCACTTTTTTTTCTTTCCCTAACTTTAACTTTCCCTTTTGTTTTTCTTTTCTTTTTCGTGTCGTTGATTTTCCTTTTCTTCATTTGCATTCTCCTTTCCTTTAATTTCATTCTCTTACCGTTGTTATTTCCTTTACATTTCTCCACATTTTTTTCCCTTTCTTATACCTTATTCTTTCTTGTCTTTCAATTGCTTTCTTTTTGTTTCTTTTTCTATTTCCCTATCTCTTCTTATTCATTTACCTTTGCATTTCCTTCTGTTTCTATTCCTGTCTTTTCATTTCCTTATCCTTTCCACTTTTTTTCATTATCTTTACTTTTCCTTACCTTTCTTTTCCGTCCTTTCCTATTCTTACTTTTCATTACCTTACCTTTCGATTATACTTTTTAGTTTCTTTTCAAAAACTACCAAGAGAGATCAGTTATTTTTCATGAGATGCTTGCTTGCTCACGTGAGTGGGGACCCCTGACATTCACCAACCTACATTCATCAACCACCTGGTGATACATTCAGCAATCTGCATTCATAAAGTAACAGGTGATACTGCAGTAAATGTTTTTCATTACCTGGATAACTATCAGGTGCTTCACAGTTTAAAGCTATACTTGAAGATTGCTGTACCGACACAGAACGTCTTGCATTTGGTTGAAATGCCCCTACATCTAAAGAAGAGAGAAGAAAATATAACAATTATTTTTAAAGATTAATTTTGTTGGTAAATTTATGACAAAACTCTGTCCTATAAAAACTACCACCGAGGAATTACATTTTCAACGTTATGGTTTTTACCCAGAGAATAATTTTTTCATTGCTGCATTGCACTCACCAACTGGTATACTTACACGTAAATGAGAGTCTTGCTGGTCGACTAAAAACAGTGCCAACGTCATTGGTTACCCAACACTCATAGAAGCCCTGGTCTCTTGCTTGATTTGTGCTGATAATGCGCAGTTGACCGCCACTGATTAATACATCGGAGCTACTAGTAATGACTGTGTTGTTACGCCGCCATTGGTACATTAGCTCTCCGTCGCCTTCGGCAGTACATCCAAACGTGGCTGTAGAAATTCCATTTTCAGCATCAACAATTTCATCCCTTGGTTCAACTACTATTTTAGGCCCTTTCATTTCATCCATTTCTAAAAGTAAATTATACTTAAGACAGTTCATTCTTCATACCACATTAATATGTGAAAAAAATATAATTGTAGCAAACAATTGGACAAAAAATTAATTAATGAAAAACATATCACTACAAACCCAAAATACAGGTCCCCTCCAATTAAAGACCACCTCCAATTAAAGACCACCAAAACCTCAGTCCCAAAAGCAGTGTTTAATTGGAGGGAGACCTTTAATAATTAATACAGCATAAAATGTATACTGTAATGATAAATGGTTCAATGACTATATACCAATTTAAAACATTACACATTGCATCCAATTAGAATACCAAAAAAACGTAAACGACTTTGGAACCGAGAAAGGTCAACATTGCTCTCTATATGTGGCCAAGTGGTTACAGGTTGTCCCCATATGGCAGTATCCTTGGCTCTTGTAATTTCATTGTTTTTTTAATAAGGTCTTTGTTTCTACCGTATATTATTAAATAACAAGTAAAACTAGAATTGAAATAAATACAGAGTAAATTCCATTGTAATATTGCCAAAAATTGGAGTGGAGTTGAATAGCTTAGTGGTTAAGATGATTGCTTTCTAATCTCAAGGTTCTAGGTTCAATTCCTGTCATGGTAATGTTTTTTTTTTTTATATATAAAAAACATTACCAACTTCAAGCCTCATAGTGAGAGTCTATGTTGGGCACCTTGTTTGTTGTTTCATTGTGTGGATTGCTGCAAGAATATTGATATCGTCGACTGTATCTTGTTTTCTTATTCTATGCTTACAGAAATGTGTGTATGTTTAAGGGATTGTCATTTAGAAACATGATTAGCATCCTTGGCTTTTGTGCCGCAATAGATTTCTTCTTTAACACAGCACAATACAAGTAATATTTTTGTAACTGTAATGTCAATGTTGCTTTGTAGTGTGGATTGCTGCAAGAATACTGATATCGTCGACTTTATCTTGTTTTGTTTCCTTATGCTTTCAGAAATCTTGCGTACTGTTTACGTGATTGCTACTTAGAAACATGATTTTGCATCCTTGGCTTTTGTGACTAAATTGATTTTTTTTTTTAAACATAGCACAATACAATTAATTTTTTTTTTTTAACTGAATGCAAAGTTGCTTTGTTGTGTGGATTGCTGCAAGAATATTGATAGCTGTAGAACTGTTTTAATCGATAATAAGCAAAACACAATGGATGTTGCTTACTGCAGATGAAACTATTCAAATAATTTGAATGTGTAAGAATACTGATATTTTCGACTTTAGCTTGTTTAATTATTTTAGTACTTTATGCTTGCGTGTATGTTTGTCATGGAAAGGGATTGCCACTTGAAAAATGATTTAGAATATCCTTGGCCTTTGTGTCTAAAATTTATGGTAATTTTGTTTTAAATGAATATTGATGTTGCTTTGCTGTGTGGATTGCCATTGTTTGTATCATGAATATTGATATTGGCGACTTTTATCTTGTTTTATGCTTGTATTTTGTCTCTGATTCACATTTTATATTCACTGACATTTACCTTAAATTTTAATATTTAATCTTTTTATTAATTGTCCTTCATATTGAATAATGTAAATTTTTCTATATGCTATTTGAAAATCTGTTATTTTTTATGAAATTTGCACATCATTATTGTATTTTTCCAACTCTATACACTCTAGAAATTCCATTTCGGCAACTACCCAAAGAATGTAACAATAAACAGAAATTATAAAAGCCTTCTTGTCAAGTAGTGGGTCTATCTATAGCTTATCGATTAAAGTCAGGCTCCGGAGGAAAAAAATTTGTTGATATGTAGTAGAACTGATTTTTCTAAGACAGAAAAAAAGTTGTTTGACGAAAAACTGGGGAACAGTGAATGAGATACAGATTTTTTAATATTTAAAAACTGGGGGGAATAAGGTGAAAAAATAGGCAGTTTTTTCCCCCAGTTTCTTAATTTTAAAAAATCTGTATCTCATTCACCGTTCCCCAGTTTCTCGTATTCCCCAGTTTCTCGTCAAACAACTTTTTTCTGTCTTAGAAAAATCAGTTCTACAACATATCAAAACATTTTTTCCTCCAGAGCCTGACTTTAAAATGCTCAACTTCCTATCCTACAGTAGGCTACTGGGTTCAATACCTGTTTCACACAAGATGAATGTACTAAACAAACTGTGCCAAGAATGCGCATCAAGAATACCAATTAACAATGATATCTCTCTACATCTCTGGTTAAAAAGGCATGTTAAATTCCCTAGGTATTTACCAAGGAGCTTTAACAGGATGTAGCTTATACAGTATTTCACGTTGCGTCGCACATCTTCACTGTATATACTGTACATGTACCTACTTTACCAGAGTTTTAGCAAGGTGTGTATAGCTGTGTGAAAGCAACAAATCCCGGTAAGAAAACAACATAACAGCACTATTAATTTGATTTAATGAATTTTCTGTTTTGTGTAACATTATTTTTGGAATACATAATACTGTAGTAGAGGATTTGTTATTCCTAACACTCTGCCCACACTATCAGGTGTTTTTTGAGGAACTACATGTGACATGCCCAAATATGGGTATGATGTGACATCATTCAAGGAAAGGTTGATGGTGTGGACATAATCTAGTGAGTTTTGTGTAATACTTTATAGTATGTTTGTGGTTTAAATTAAATTCTTCTATTGCATGAATTACATTATTACCTCCGCCAACGAAGTTGGCAGGAGGTTATGTTTTTTCAAGTTGTTTATTATTAGCATATTTGTTGTAATCAGGGTCAAAGGTCAAGGTCACAATGAATAAAAAAATTTGTTTATTTGTCTACAGACCATAGCTTTAATCACAAAACTTGTCAAACTTGGTCACAATGTTCCATGTTACTGTTGAAGGGAAAAGGTCAAAGGTCAAGGACACAATGATCGAAAAATAAGTATAACTGTCTGCCGCATGGACGTGTGCGTGGGCTGGTAAAGTGTAAAAAAAATATACTGTAACTATTACACTACCAGCCTCAGGTTTAAAGCCCAAGGAGTCTTTCTTGTTGTCAAACCACAATAGAAATAAGTTTAAATTGTTTTTTAAACTTTTTGTGTTATCCTTGTTTTATCTAGTCTATCTCTCTTATGTTTCACGTGTCTGTCTGTTTTGCCATTTTTGTATCTTTGTGTGCATTTTATAAATTTCAAAAGAAATCAAATCATGAATACATCACAAATACATCAACTACTGTACTGTAGAACAACTGAGTCTCGTTGATTCTGTAAATATTTATCTAAATTAACGGTTACTTATCTTAAAATGTCCAGGATATTATAATTCAACATGTTTCCAATATTCAGATATACTATCTTTCAGCCATTAGTTTCCTAAAATGCATGAGCAAACTAGGCTACTGTATTCGTGTATTACATCCTCAATACTATTCCCAGTTTGAACATAATATCTTTTTCTCTCTTCTGTTGAAACATAAAAGTACTGTGTATGGATTATTCTCTGTAAATCTATAATTTAAGCACAGATCAAGTAACCTGCGTACAACCTGTAGTTTCATGTTCAAAATGTGCTCTACTTTTCTTAAATAATTTTATGTTCTTTCTCGTAAGTTGAGAACTTGGAGAAGAGTAATTTATTTATGTTGTAGAGTAGTGTTTGAATTTGATCCTATGTAGCTACTAGTAAGAACCATTTCTATTTAGTTCATCTGAGTATCCTAATTTGAAGTTCTGCATAGCATGTTTGCAAGACTTTGTGTAAATAAACAGTAATATATTAAATTAAATCTATTTTAATTATAATACAGTGTTATTTGATCCTATGTAGCTACTAGTAAGAACCATTTCTATCTAGTTCATCTGGGTATCCTAATTCATAGTTCTATATAGCATGTTTGCAAGATTTTGTGTAAATAAATAAAAATATCTATATTATAGTATGTATATATTTTTAATATAATAAAGTGTTTATATCAACTCACAAAAAAAACGCCTCTTTAAAAACGAATGTAGGCGTCTATAACAGATTTTGAAATAAAATAATCGTTTTATCTGAAAATTATACATCACGATTCAGTTTTAATTCTGCAATATGCAAGTCTTTTATGAATAAATTTAATTAAATTTAATTTGAGTATTATATTCATAACTGAGATTGATGGCTATAGTTGTAACCTATTATGGTAGTAATTCATTACAGGCAGCAACTTATGATCATTCGTGCACAAGTTGACCAAATTAGCGTACAACTGATTTTTCTAAAAGCATATTTGACGAAATGATAAATGAGATACAGGTTTATGAATATTTAAAAACTAGGGAAAAGGGGTGTAACCACCAATTTTTCCACCTTTTCCCCTAGTTTTCAAATATTCAAAAGTCTGTATCTCTTTAACTGTTTTATTAAGTTTTTCATCGAATATGCTTTTCATGTCTTAAAAAATGTTTTTGCTCCGGAGCCTGCCTTTAAGAAAATGCAAGAAAACACAATCGCACAATACTTTAATAGTGGAAAGTGCTGCATCAAACTACATGTTTATCATTCTAAAATGTCACTAATAGCCAGTATAATGGATTGATCTGACAGACTATCAGTTTCAGGGATGTGATATGGCAATTAATATCCAACAGACTGACTGCAATGATAGGCAAATGTAGCCAAGTATGACAAGTCCTACAAATACAGTGTTACTGTATTTAATTCTATGTAGCTACTAGTAAGAACCATTTCTATCTAGTTCATCTAGGTATCCTAATTCATAGTTCTGTATAGCATGTTTGCAAGATTTTGTGTAAATAAATAAAAATATCTATATTACAGTATGTATATATTTTTAATATAATAAAGTGTTTATATCAACTCACAAAAAAAACGCCTCTTTAAAAACGAATGTAGGCGTCTATAACAGATTTTGAAATAAAATAATCGTTTTATCTGAAAATTATACATCACGATTCAGTTTTAATTCTGCAATATGCAAGTCTTTTATGAATAAATTTAATTAAATTTAATTTGAGTATTATATTCATAACTG